TTTTATTTTTTACCGGGATCTGCATGTCGATCAGTATCAAAAAAGTAGGTGCAGGTGTATCAAAAATGAATGTTTTGGGGTAGTTCGTTTGTTTTGACCATCACGTTACACCTGATCCTGAATTTTTATTGGTCGAAATCACAGGGGTGAAGAATTTTTTGTGGCTACCTACGTTGTACACAGATAACAAAATATACTTGAAAGCCCGATTGTAGGTTGTTATCACATCAGTGGTGTTCAACACCATAATCGCTATAGCTAAGTAATTAATGCTGGGTATTCTAAGTAAAAATGTTCAGCACCCCAAAAACCTTATTAATCTAAATTTTACCTTTAATACTAACCCTTACCTTAAACCTATAACAACACCCTAACCCTAAATTAGCGAAACTATTAAAAATACATGTGGTGTTGAACACCAGTGGTGTGATTTAGAGTAATTAATTAATATTATTATTTATCATGACATTTATTATGTGTATTTCCGTATGACGCATAAATGAAAAACCAGTATGACACACCTCAGAGTCAAATTTTAATTTTACGCGACTCAATTTTAAACCTACGTCTATTCTAATCTGAGGTACGACATATATACCACACAAATTCTTATCGCATAAATTTTGTGTCCCTGTTAATAATCCTCGCAAAAAAATTTCTAGCACGTGATTATTATTATAAACTTAGCATGGTTTTTTTATATACTTTAATATTAAAAAAATCATTATTTTCAGTTTATTAAAAGGACAAAGACGGTTTAAATTTTTTGTTTGCAACGGATATCTGATTTGATTGGCCAGACAATCACATGTTGGAAAAATATTTTGTGCAACAGCTGACACACTTGGCATTAGGGAAGGTATGAGGTTTGACATTAATATAATTTATAGTTATATATATATATATAACTGTAATTATAATGTTATATTAATTGGTCCCATTAAACCATGATTTCTGTACAAAGATGACCCGTTATATTCATAGTTGGCTTTGTCTAAGTGATCTAAGTGATGCCATTGAAATTAATTTCATCAATTTTGCCAATTTTCACTAATAGAGATGGATTTATTTCACGGGTAACCCGACCTCTAATATTATGAAAACCAGGAAATTAATTCTGTACGACTAATCTCGGATGTTGTACCATATCATTATTGATTGTATGAAAATTGTTTCCTTAACTGAGAGTTATAATATTTTGTACAAAAAAAATACTATTTTTGAAATGGTACGTACCTATATGTACGTACATACATGCACACATGAATATATTAAAAAAAATTAAAGAATTTTACCACGTACGTACAAGCATAGTATACCTCATATAACGATAATCAGAGTATGCACGAAATAATTAACATGCAGATAGATTTATTAGTTCATTTTGTACGACAGGTGCAATTAAAGTGATATCCAACGAAACTAACGAAAAATATCAATTCATTAGTCTTTTCTTCGGTGAATTAGTTGATTCGCTATAACATTCCTTAAAATAAAAATTTAATCACGCAGAAATCGAATTAACTTCATTCTTTTCTTTGGCCGTCTATCACGAAATAATATTATTCATTCTTTTTACCATTTATCAAATTAAATTCTACCTCAAGCATTTATATAAATGCTATAACAAAAGAAACGGCCTTTCATAAACCCCTTGTTCTGTGAGCTGGTAACGCGCTTGAAGCTTCGAGTGTAAGCTTACATTCCAGTCATTCGATAATTTTCATAAATACCGATAATAATAACAGTAAAGATGAAAGAAACTTTGCTGATGATAATATCATTAATAATTCTATTCTCTTCATTCCTTTACGTATCACCCGCAAAGTCCAATAGTGTACCCACACAATGTTATAACCATCCAAACCCTTTAAATGGAAAATACAGAGAAGCTGTCTCATGCCCGACGTCAAAACAAAAAGTCATAACATCGAATTTGGCAGCGACAGGCTCAAAAAACATGTTTGATGTTACTCTTACATGTGGTGTAAAAAATGTATCATTATGTGATGAAGTAAAAAAGACATTTGAAACAGCTGGAAATATAATATCTTCTGCCCTTATATTAAATTCAATTATAACTATAAACGCTAGTTTCATCGATTTTTGTGTTTCTATGGGCGAATGCGGTGGTAAATCAGGTCTTGTAACTTTAGGTAAGTTCGTAAGAGTTGAGTTAGAATTATAGCACACACAAAACATAAATATATACATTTATTCACCTTTTATAACAAATTACAGGTGGAGCATGTCCAGCACGTTCAATACCATTACAAGATGATGATGGATTAGTACGACTATATCCACAAGCGCTTGTTAAACAATTTCAATTTAAAACACATCCGGAATATGGACCCTATGATATTTTAGCAATGTTTAATTCAGCTGGAACAAATTTTTGGTTTGAAGGAGATGGAAATATGGGACATGACCAACAAGACTTTTTATATGTAGTTTTACATGAACTGATTCATGGTTTAGGTTTTGCATCTAATTGGGGTGATTACATTAATGAAAACAATCCGAAAGCAATGACACCAGATATAGCTCTAGTACCAGATGGCAGCGATTCAACGCTTAAATTTAATGGATTCATGGAAAGCGCATTTGATAAATATATAATAAATATGTCAAGTGGACATAGAACCTCAGAAATCACGAATAAGCTTAATACATTTGCAAATGAAACTGGAACAAAGTTTTCCGATGATGATGACTTTAATGCAAAGTTCAAGTCATCGCCACAATATAAATTGGCTCTTAACATGATGAAAACAGTGATTACACCGTCTTCATTAGGATTCTTGCCACATGACAGCAACGATTTAGCGGAAGCAATTATTCTTGAGACACATTTGAATCCTTATCAGGAAGGTTCAAGTGTTAGTCATGTTGATTTTAATACATATAATACTACAAACGATTTTTTGATGAAATATTTGGCAGATCTTGGAGTGAACTTGCGTACCATGACAACATCTCGCGGATGCACCGAAATTATCGGTCCTAAACTAAAACTAATTCTTGAAACTATAGGGTGCGTCTAAATTGAAATTTATTTTTTATTTTTTTTTCTTTCTATCATTAATTAACTTTAAATAACATTATTATAGATATGCAACATCAGATTACCCAAATCCTTACATTCCAAGTGTCACTATAACTTCGAATAATCTTAACACAAATAATCTTAACACAAATTTTAGCGGAAATATCGAATCAGTATCATCTGCATCTCCAAAAATGATAAATTTTAATTTTGAAACCTTAATAATACTTAATTTAGTTGGTTTTATAACTACACGATATCTTTTGAAAGACTTTTAAATGAAGGTTAATATAGAATAGCAATAGTGATAGATTCGCATACGCACAGTATACACGTGTTTAAAAAAAGAAATATATATATGTATACAGATCATGTATAATAGATTTAATTTATAATGAATATCTATTGGTCAGGGCCAACCCAGACTGAACACCTGAATTAGTAAACAAAACTACGAAGTTTACAAGGAATATTTTTTTGTCGTTCTTTACCAATAACCAAAGAGCGCCCAGTTTAGAAATGTTGTATTATTTCTTTGGTGATTACCCATTCGTCACTGACTAACAACATAACATAATTGTGACCACGTTACACAAAAAGTTTTATACTTTAATTATGCAGCTTTTATTGGTTACTTGAATTATTATAATTAAAAGTTGTGTTTCAAAATTTGAATTCAACGAATAAATGCCTTTCGACATGTTTGTTCTTTTGAATAAACCGAATAAAACTCGTATTCTTTATTAATGTCTCGCTATATTACAAATAGAGTAAGCCTACATATCGTATATTAGGTTAATTCATTAACTTTTAATTAGGCTCTATTCAACCTAGCACCCACAAAAATTGTTCCCTCTCGTGATTTTTGACCAATCAAATTTCAAGATCAGGTGTACAATCGAAGCGAAACAAAAAACAGAATAACTCGAAATTTTAATTAAGAAACCACCTTCTACGGCCTAATTAAAAATGCTCCTCGTGAGATCTTACTAATAGGAACTCTATCGTCCTAACCCTGACCCTAACCCTAACCTAACAAACTTAGTAAAAATTACAGGGGGGGCAATTTTTGTGGGCGCGCTACCTAAGATTCCAGCGCCACATAAGGTAGAGTCGGGTATTATGACGCAGGTGGGTATTGTGACGCACTCGTGTTTTTTGACGATATCTCGCGATATATTGATCAGAATCGAGTAATTTTGGTATCATTCGATTCGTCTTACTGAGACGAATCAAATAATATAAATTTTTTTTGGTTCTAATTGCTAAATCACAAGATATAAGTAAAAGTCGGCATTACTTATGATAGTATTAAG